CAGGGCAATAAAGTGAGACTGTCTCAAAAAAAAAAAAAAAGAATGCTTTAATATCTAACAGATAAGTAAAATAGCAGTGAATTTTAGATTAGTTAACTATGTAACCTTAAAGTTAATTTATTTCACTTATAGTTATTTGGATTAAATTTAAATCATTGCTCTGATTTCTGCAAAGAATTAAGAATACTACAATGTTATCCATCGTAGTACGTTGCTTTCAATACTTTAATTATACAGTATAATTTACAAATATTTGAAGTTGCTTATGGCATGTTATCTAGACTTTGGAACTGATTTCTTTTTCTTTTCCTTTCCCTTGCTTCAGATGTTCATCAAGTACATAAAGGTTAGCAACCTTCTCTTTTGCAATATTGAATAACAGGGCATGGCATATTAATGCATTACAAAAACTTTACAAATACTGACTTTTGGGGAAATGAGGACTTTATTTTTAGAAATGTTATAACAAAAAAACTGAGTATATTGTTACATGCACTCTGCTGGCTTCCCATTTCATGTGCTTTTATTCTTTAGGTGGAGTTGGTATCGCATTTTGGATCAGAGCACTTTTGTCCATTAAGCCTTATAAGGTAATGCAGAACAAAATACATTTACTGACTGAGTGCTTATTTTTAAAAAGGCAATATATAAAAATCCCAATATATATAAAGTGAAGAAATAATTTTCTCTTATGTAAAGTTCATACTGTAGAAACATGAACCCTGAAGCCCTTCTTTCCCTTGAATGCATTTGGAAAAATGTCAGAATATCCTCTGTTAAAGAATAAACTTCATTTTGTGTATTTGGTTTAACTTGCTTGCTATTTTGCTATGATGAAAATGTATAGAAACATTTTTAGACTGGTATAAAAACTTGGTCATTATATTTCTAAATGTCTTAAGTAGATTAGTTTGACATTTTAATGGAAGCAGTAGATAAGTAAAATGTAAGGAAAAACTATTATTATTTTGGAATTGAAAGACCAGTGGCCCTCAAAACATGACCAAAGTTGATGTGTGTCATTTATTGTGAAGAGGTAAGTCTTAACAACTCTGTTTTGTTTGGAAGTCTTTAATGAGATTGTTTTTGATAGGGTATTTGGCACTAGCATGGTGGAAGAATATGAAGAAATTGCTGATTCCCAGTATCACTCAGAACGTCAAGAACTCTTTGATGAGGATTATGGTGAGTAACTTTAAATAGGTGACTATCATATATATATTTTTTTACTTTTTAAAATCTAATGGTGTGGCCGGGCACGGTGGCTCATACCTATAATCCTAGCACTCTGGGAGGATAGCTCGAGGTCGGGAGTTTGAGACCAGCCTGAGCAAGAGCAAGACCCTGTCTCTACTAAAAGAAATAGAGAGAAAGTAGCTGGATAACTAAAAATATATAGAAAAAATTAGCCAGGCATGGTGGTGCATGCCTGTAGTCCCAGCTACTTGGGAGGCTGAGGCAGGAG